GAAAGCCCACGAATTTGGTTAAAATTACGAAGTTGAGTACCGCCAATTCGAAAATTTTCGAGGGTAGCCCCGCGCCATAAGAAACCAAATGCTCTTTTGGTGAAGATTTCGATCATTTTCTGGAATCTTCGTCGCCCTCCTCCTCAGAGACTGAGAGTGAGTGAGAAGACGGCAATGGCGGAAGTGAAGCGGTGGAGCGTCACCTACACCAAGCACATGAAGCAGAAGCGCAAGGTTTACCAGGACGGTTTCTTAGAGCTCAACACCTCCGTTAATAAGGTATTTAATTTTCAAATTTTCAAATTAATCCCAAAATTACTTCAATTTTTTCTTTCAATTCATAGTTTTGTGCTTAAATTTTTTTATTCTAATGCACAGGTGTTGCTGTACGACGATTGTGAGAAGCTCTTGGAGTGCAGGCTCTTGAAGAAAGACGAAGAAGTTAGCTCCGGCGAAACACTCACATTCAATGCTTTTCTTGTTGACGTGAACGAAGCTGATTCAGCCGAAGGAGATCGCAAGCCTGTACCTGGTTTTAATTCTCAAGCAAAAGATACGAAATTTAATGAGAAACGCGCAAAGCCGTTTGTGAATACAAGTTCAGTTTCTAATTTGCTGTTATTATCTCAATAAATTTTGTTCAATTCCGTAGCATTGTATATTTTTTGCTTCCTTGCTTTTGATATCACCAATTTTGAGATTCTTACAGGGAATAAGCCGCAGCCAAATTTGAGCCCGTCGCAAAAGATAATTAGAGGTTAGTCTGCCTCCCATTACAATCTCCTTTCACATGTGAACAATTTTAATTTAATTTGTTTTTATGTTTCACATTTCAGAGTTTAAGAATAGGGAACTGCACAAGTATGGTGCAGCACAAAGTAGTCCAGAAACGATGAAAACTAGCAAAACAGGTTAGTTAGTTATCGGTAGCTCTATTTATGTAAAAGCAATTTTAACTCTAAAATGTTGAAGCATAGCAGAATTTTGTGATTTCTATACTGCAATATTTTACAAGTCCCTTTAATTGGGAGTTGTTGCTTGTCATTTGGCATGCGTTAGTTTCATTATAGTGTCATGGTTTCTCTGGGACTCACTGTGTTCTGTTCTTTATATTCCCCCCTCCCTTTTATAATTGTTTTCACGGTCTACCATTTACAATCCAGAATGGCAGGTTCTATACACCACACAACTAACTCAAAAGGCCAAGAAGTATCATGATGGTTTCTTACAACTTGCAGTTTCTGGGTCTTATGGAAAGCAGGTTGACTTATCCTACTACCCATCTGTTCTTATTTGCAATCTCAAGTTTTCCTATAAATCCGTAGGCCACTCCTCACTTATGGAAGTACAAATCCTTTTCGAGTCATGTGTGTAATTGCACACAAATTTACCTAAAGGAAAATTGACTCTCAGGCTTTACCTTTTCTCTCTCTGTACAGATAATACTGTTGGATGAAAGCAGGAATCTCTTAGATAGCAGGTTCCTTAAGAAAGATGAAGTCCTAGCATCCGGTGAATCAATAGGATTTAGCGCTCATTTAGTTGAAATTGGAGAATGTGAAGGAGATAATAAACCCGGGAAAAATTTGCATTTCAAAGAAAATAAACGTAATGTTGTTAGAGAGGCAGGAGTAAAGCATGAACAAAGTAATGGTGTTATCACTGATAAAGCTGCTGACAAAGGTTAGTGAGAGAACGGTATTTTCTTGTTCCAGATTTAACTTTTGTATCTCTGAATGTGACTGTTTACATATTTTCTTCATTTATCTTATCTATCCCTATGACCCCAATGATCGGGTCCAAGGTTGACAACTTTTTTCCTTTCTCTAACTTAGAATGGAAGGTCCTGTACACTACACAATTAACCCAAAAGGCCAAAAAGTACCATGATGGCTTCTTAAAACTAGCAATGTGTGGCTCCCAAAGGAGGCAGGTAATATATTAAGAAACTTTATATGTTTGCACAGTGTTATCATCTTGTTCCCACGCCGAGCAATGTATGATCTGACTGATTGCAAAAGTTGTTCTTTTTTTCCCTTCTTATTGTTGGTTTCACTTTCTACGAAATTTGATGATTACTGTTCCATCTTTGGTTATGCACAGGCCCTGCTGTTTGATGCGACTAAGAAACTCATAGATAGCAAGTTCCTAAAAAAAGATGAAGATATAAGATCTGGTGAATCATTTACATTTGATGCTCATTTGGTTGACATTGGAGAACCTGAAGGAAACCATGAAGCTTTGGTAGATTTGAAATTTCGAGGAAAAGACGATTGCTATGTCCAGGAAACAAGGAAATTAGGTGGTGGAGATGATTGTGTTATAGTCAATAATTTTGAAGTAAAAGGTTAGTGTGACATATATTCGCTCTTTTGTTTGGCTTTTGTTTGTGTTGTTGTTTACATTTTCATGGTTTTTATGCAATGGATCCTTCTATCTATTTCTATAAATGATGTACAGGTTTCCACCTTTCATGTAATCCCTTATTTTAAATCTTAAATGTAATGGAATAAATCTTAAATGTTGTTTTATTGTTAATAACCAGAAGCAAAGTCTTCAACGCAATGCTTTCAGGCCTAAAAGGAAAAGGCAACGGTTTTGATGTTCTTCATAGTTTGAATCAGTGTTCACCTTCAAATTTGGAAATTAAGAATTAACAACTTGAGATCATATAGTTGAAGGGATCAAATTTACATTATTCTGGGACCATTTGGATACGTTTTACAGAATTGGAGGATGGAAATTGCATGATATACACTTTGCACATAAACGCTACCCTTAGTTCTGTCTGTGAGAGTTATCCTTCCAAGATTCCTATTGCACTTATATTCTCTAAAATGCAGAGTGGCATGCTCTATACACCACTCAGATTACTCAAAAGGCCAAGAAGTACCATGGTGGCATTCTCAGACTTGACTTTTCTGGTTCTTACCGTAAGAAGGTTGTTTACATTTATCTTGAGCTCCATGTAATTGGTGTTGCTTTCATATCTATGAGCCATTTCTACTGTACGTGATGTGTCACATGATGCCCATCTATGCCTTGCATGAAATCCTATAAGCCTTTAGAGCTGCATCACTTTTGTGGGATACTGAATTCAAAACTAGCTTCTGACATTTTGAGTCATTATATATATGTCAGGTTAGTTTACTTAGTGAAGACAAAACCATGCTGAGCAGTAAGTATATCAGTTTGTCAGAAGATATAAGAACAGGATGCATGTTTGAGCTGCCAAAATATTTGGTGGAGGTTGGTAGACTATATACAAGTTCTGGAGGTATGGTTCTGTTATAGTATGCTAACTTAGACATTGATGCTTGCTGAGGTCTTGACCATGCCTGCGGCATTTTTGGCCCAAAGGTGAAGGAAAACCTCACAACAAAGATTATTTGAGGAAAGCTTCAGAGTCAAATCTTAGCATCTCTAGTGTAGAGGAAACGAGATCAAGCAGGGCAGTCCATACAAACAAGCCTTTACGTGATGGTGAGTCTAGGATTACTTGGTGAATCAATTAGCATAATTTATTGAATTTGAAGTATTTTCTTCTCCTTTTGTAATTTACTGTTTGTCGTATTTATTTTCTGCTTTTCATTTTTTGGCCCCTGAGGTAGGCGTGCCATGTGGGAGCTTTGATCTGTCTATCTTGAGTAATTTCCTTTAAATCTTACTGCATTGCTGATTCTTTATCTGTTTCCATAACTGCAGCCAATCAGATTTTGTCCATTCTCCAAAGACCTATGGCTCAGGAGAGGATAGTTTCAGGCCATGCTGATAGCAGCACAGCAAGACCAATTGCCTCCACTAAGGAGTCTCAAGTTTCAGATGCTATAATAGTGAATTTCTCTGAAGATGCTCGACCATCACAACCACATAGATCAGTTGAAAGTATAGAGCAAAGTGAAAATATGGACATTGGAAACCCCCCTGATCCTATGTCTTTCAAAGGCAAGTCTTATCAGAACTGTTTAAACTTGCATCACCTTTTACTGTTATATTTTCTGAAATTAATTATGTGGCAATTCAATATGAATTGGAATATGCAGCAATATCCAGTGGTAGTGGCAGTCAAGTAGCTGATGGAATCAACATGAGAAACTCCGACCAGGTCTAGACTGTTCCCCACACCACAGTATCTATTGCCAATTTCCTTTTTCTGCTTGTACTATTCAAATTTGGGTTGTCTGCCTCTTTCATATTGAGATCCTTGTTAGCCACCAAATTAAAGGGGAAATAATTAGAATTATTTTATTGCATAAACAACCAGTGTAAATCCTGCATAAACGAAGAAGTTTGGGATATAGTTAGTTGAGCCCAATCCATGGAGGACTTATATCATTCAAGTATATGTGGAATCCCACTATGGCACACGATCTTCATTCAATGTTTGAAATTTATGCAGACAATACATGGTTGATAGCTCTCTTTTATCTATTTCTTTTATTTCTTTTACAATGCATTTCACCCCTATAGCACCCATCGTTAAAACTTTTTAGTTTTGACATGATATATTGTGTTTACAATTGTCTCAAGCAGTTTTGTCCAGGACATGTGAAAGTTGACACCAGACAGCATGACACAGCATATACTTCCAACAAATCGAGTTTGAGTTCTTGTGTTTCTCATGATGCTGCGGATGAGAAAAGTAGTTCTGAGGAGCCTACTTGTGAGCAAATTGAAGAATGCCCTAGTTTTGATCTTGGATTTTAAACAACTCTACCTGGCACTTTGCTTTGTATATGTTGTGTGATAGCTTGTAGTGAGTCCATGTTTAGTGAGAGTTAGGAATCTAACGTTCTGTATGTCCTGTGCTTCAATGTTGTGGCTTTGATGATTTTATTCACTCTTTTACTCTTAGCAGATGGTCAAAAATGAGAAACAAACGAGACGTAAATGCAACGAAAGAAGTTGAACACTTAAAACTTATGAATGATTTAGAACTTTGCTGGCAAAGAGCAACACAAGCATGAAAGTGTAAACTGAAATTCTGATAGGCTTCCTTGTACCTCTTTCTGTTTTGTTCTCTTAATTTTCATCCAAATATTTGTACAATGTGGCATCCTTTCTAAACTTGCGCATGCTAAGCAATGCCTTAAACAGACGTTTATGTTTGCCTGAGTGCTGATCACTGTCTTTGTTCGTGTCTCTTTCAGCATGAAGAGGCAATGAAATTGTTCTCCTGGTTCGGGGCTCCGAGACGTACTGAAAATATAATCCAATATATTTTCTAAATCTCAAAAGTATTTGATTATTAAAAAAACTAGAGCTGAAACTTGCAAGTGCTTACCCGCTGTTTGACAGTAGAAGAAGAGTTCATAGTGCTTGATCTCTTAACAAGAGAGCCACAACGTGGAAGTGGAAACCGATGCGGTGAGACCGTTCTTTTCTCTGATTTTATGGGAGGAAAATTGCATTAAAGATGTTGTATAGCCAACAGAAGCTTAGCAACATATTAAATGGAAGAAACATTTTACACAAACCAAGTTTGGACGAAATTCTTGTGAACTGAAATGCTCCAGGTGAAGGTTGAGCAGAGTGTGATGCAGAAGGCTCTTCACTGCATCAGAAATAAAGCACACAGGCTTGGTGAAAAAAGTTCAGACTCAGAATAAGTTTGGCCATTATGTTGAAAAGAGAAGGTGTTCACAGATAGCATTTACCTGACAATTGTTGGAGCAATCTCCTTCATTGTTGTTGCTTCAGCAAAATATTCGCATAAACAAATTATTAGATTTTCCCGTAATTTAACAATTAAAATGAAAATTACAAAATATTAAAGGATGAAATGAATACCTGTACTAATCTCATACAAATCCTCTTCAGCACTTTGTCTCAATGCAGACTGGCCAACAGTATCCATGATGGGAACATACTTGTCTGGCAAGATGTATCTCCTATGGTGCTTGGGAAATTTTGTGGCTAAAGAATTTTGGAAGACACCCCCTTGAGTGACGAAATCTTGGCACGTCCTAAGTCGCTAGAAATTCCCGAAAAAAAAAAAAAAAAAAGTTTAGACAGGGTTGAAATTAACAGAGGAAAAATGTTCAGCTCCTACCTGTTCAACGCAAGACAACCTAAGCCCAGTTTCTGAGACTTGATTGACATTTTCATCCAAAAATCCATTGACCTTATAAGCCATTGAACCCAAGTGATCCACAGCATTGACAACTGTTTTGAGGACATAATCCTTCAAGGCCTCCATCACTCTACCAGTACAAAACATAGAAACAACAATCAGAATTAGCAAATGCCATAATTCATTTTGGTCCTCTGTGCTGTAACTCACAATTGTTTTTGGTCCTCTTTTCTGTAAGACATTTCGAAATATTCGGCTGCTGAGTACAACTGTTTCCTCATATTCTTCAGTTCCTGAATCAGCAAATGCCATAAAATGAGTTCGGAAAACTTTATGGACAAGACTAACATGGAAGAGAGGTGAAACATACATTCAGATTCTCTGAAAAGAGCACCCTCTGCTGCATGAAGAGTTCATCATCATGGTGGGAAACTTTTTTTGCGACAGAAACTGAAGAGGAAGAAATTACACCCTGCATTTTGCCACCTGCAGAAAACACAAACTTCTGATATCAGTCACAGAGCTGAAAGCAAAGACATGCTAATCTGAGATCATTTTGAACCAGAGAAACCATGATTCTGTGCTGAAAGCAATACAAATACTTGGCTTACTTGAGTCAGAAAATCAGAAACCAGCACAACAAGACAGTATGGTTACTTTCCTTTTACTATAAATTCTCAGAAAGAAAGCAAACAAGAAATAGCAGATAAAAACTAGTGAGATGGCAAAGAGCAGCCACCTGGGTGCCCAGGAAAAATCAACTTGTCTTCATTCATGGAATATTTATGTCTTTTGTTGACAAGAAACTGTCAGCATAAGGAATAGAAGATACTGACTTTTCCTCTCAGAAGAGTGGGAATGAGAGAATGCTGTTACTGGATTTATTAAGCGACAACATCAATCAGAACCAAATATCATTTTTTCTATTCTTGAAAGCAAAACATCAAACACTTGAGTCACTAATCATTTTTTTTACACTGCTTATTATGAGTTCCTTTGCAAAGAGGAAAAAGCCTACTAAAAAGTCCATCAAAACAAGCCACTTGTCAGCCATGTGGTGGTTTGATTGTTTTCAAACCTGGGACCCCCAAAATTGATGGGAGGAAGATGAATCTTTAATTTGATCCCAACTCACATCAGTGATGGTGTTTGCTAGCTTGGCTGCTGAAAAAAATCATTTAATCCAGTGGTTCTATATCTTATGATGTCTTGCCTTAAGAGCCAACTACTTGACCCTCTGATTAATTATGAATGGCAAGTTGGTAACCACTTAATTTTAGTTATTATTATTACTGCAAGTCTGCAAACTAAAGAAAGACCAGAAGCTGGAGCTGAACAAAGTTGATCCAATTTTCTTGTAAAGTGATGGATCATGGAAATCGAAGTCAAGAAATTGCATTTATTTTGGTACAAAGAAAGGTTGAATGTAGCAGCAGGCCATCCGTGTCAAAACGCTACCAGAAAATGCCAAGAGGATATTTTTAATCATATGTCAGTGGGGGATTCGACGTTAGGCATTGGATTTATATGGCATTAAAAATGCGACTGATGGGCACGTATAAACCACCATTAATCCACTTGCATTAGCTTTGTCTTTTAGATCATAGGGTTGAGAGTATTACCGACAATGCTAAAAGTGCTTTACTAATAAGGAAAAGGTTTCTTTGTAGCTTTTAAATCAACTATACAATGTTGTTCGTCTATATATCACCCGGAGGGGACGATTCACAATGCATCAACAGGTAAGAGACACACTCAAGCACTGCTCTTGAGCTTTCTCTATTTCTTTTTCCAGCACATAAACAGAACCATTTCAAGTAATCAAAAGTACCATCTGATTAATGAAAACACGAAGAACATAAATGCTGAAAAATATTGCCACCAGAGTGGTCAAACTAAAGTACAATAGTAGACAAATTTTGAGTCTTCGTAATAAAATTGAGAAGAAAATTTTGAAAGTGAAAAGTATGAGCAACAGATGTTAGGTGTCGTGATAACAACACAAACAACCACAATGCCGCAGCATTTTTAAACAATCCGCTCCAACTCTCTCGCATAGCTGAGCGTTTGGTTGATGAGCTGTAGAGAAGGTATCTCCTTGCATGGAGCAGTCTCCTTCGCCTTCTGGAAATAGACAGCATCATTCTTTACTTCCCACTCAGGATGATCCTGTTTTCAAGGATCAGAGTTAAAAATTTGTGGAAACAATGGAGAAAGTAAAGCGTATTTCCAATGCTGGTGTAAGAAAGTCGAGCGTATTCCCCTTGTTCAAATATCGGTATGCTCAATGGGCAGGAGGCTCATCGTATTTTTCACTCAATCGAAATCATTGGAAACTTCTACATGCGCATGGTGCCTTACCCACCCATGATTTGCATAATCATTTTATGCCAGACAGTAATAAGCATTACATGTGATTGCAAAAATAAAAGATCAATCCCTCTGAAGCAGTACAGTTAACTTGGATTCTATATGAAAAAGGTAAAAAATACATGTTACAGTGAACGTTACCTCCTCCACATATGCCAAAAGGTCACGGTCAGAAGGGAACAGCAACATCTGACGTGCATCCTTAATGGAGAGATAATCATATGCCTTCTCGCTGCATCCAGCTATCTCATCTCTAAAATTGACAGAACAAATCAACCAAAAAGCCCATTAAGGCATATAATTCATAAATAGACGCAAACATATTATTTAAAGAGCTAAACTACACAATATCAGGAAGACGATGGGCTCTAATCATTCACATATACCTAGTAGCCACATATAATAAATTGAACTGCATTGATGCAGAACTCCAAAATTCTAGCCTTTACATTTTCTTTTCGCATGTTTGTATAACTTTTGCAACTATTCAAATATAACCATAAAGAAGCAAAACAAAGTACCTGACTGTTTTTGCCAGGAGATCCATAAAATAAACATAAGTCTCATGTGGCACTGTCTGCCTAGCACTCAAAACACGGTTGTAAGCCCCCTCCATGAAAGATTGCTCCAGCTCCACAGCATGCTTAATGCAAGGGTTCTCCAAAGCAGCGGATGAAAGCAGTTCCAGTTCAGTGTGGAACTCAGCAATTCTATTCTGGACAAGGAGTCTCAACAGGTTGAGACCTAAAATTGGGTACTCTTGAGAGGATGGTGGAAGACGGTCACTGCTCCAAAAGAAATGTAAATTCATTAACAATCAAACACTTATTTTTCTTTTAAAAAAGACTTAATAAATATAAGATAAACAAAGTCAAAACAGCGTAGGGAGAAAGAGTCAACAGAAGTTCAGCAACAGCAAATGTGAGAAAATAAAACTTCATACGTAGCTTAAGGGGGTTGATAAATTACCGAGCATCTGTGTAATAGGACTTCAACTGAAAGAAATCCCTTTCAAATGCATCCTGATCCTCAATCTTCACACTAAGAACAACAGCATGCTCATATATATCCCCTGAAAGGTTTTCAAACATGAGAAAAAAAAGGTCAGCGAGGCAGTAGTTGGAAGGTGACTACACCAACGAACAATCTTAAACTAGCACACATTTTTGCTACAATGTAATTACGCAGCACAATGAAGTATAAAAGCATATCTCCTTCTAACAACAAGACTTGAAACTATGCTTTACCCCTTCCCTTCCACACCCCAATGCCACTTGAGCTGGTGCTCACAGGAAACTATAAAGCAAGTGTTTGTTTTTACTTGTGCATTTTTCATGCTATTTATGCAAAGAATTTGGGAACTAAACCAACAGAAAAGTAAGAAGAGCATGTTTGGGTAAAGAATGCTCTACTTGCTAATGTTAATTCACGAATCGCATTAGGAGTGTCTTCGAACAAGGGCGGTAGGCTTCTGAATTCAGTCAGCCTGACCTGAAAAACAACAATGAATACATCTCAGCCCACATACAACAACAGAATTCCATGTGTCTTACAAAACCAACAAATAACTTTAAAATTCCTCCAAACGAGCATTTCACTAACTATCAGCTTAACAACAGAGACTGGTAGCTCTACAACACGTTACACGAAATCAGGAAATTTTGAAACTTTAATTCACCAAATCCATAATGTAATTAAAAGGTAACTAGCAAAAGGAAGAAGCAAAACGATGCACCCAACACTCTGATTGACCCAAAATCCTAATCATATCGCGGCAATATACAAAGAATCATACTTTAAGTAGACAAACAATAGAATAAGAGTTACTAAATCATGTGCAGGAGCAGCTGACAATCTCAAATTTGGCAGAAAATTAGGGTTTTGGAGATTGGTACGTTACCTTGAGCTGGGAGAGGAAATTGGAGCAGGTATCGAAATCGTTCTCGGGAAGCACAACATTCCCCACTCCCGCCCCGTGTGGTGTGGCGG